TTCCAACGTGAACTGGAATTAACGTTAAATTCCAACGCTCCTTTAGGCGCCGACGGGGCCTCCAATTGAACCGGGGCTTAAAACCAGCGGGGGCTCGAAGCGAACGCGGGCCCAGCGCTTGTGGCTCCCGGCTAAGCCTCAACACCCAGGGGAAAAACTACATCCCCCCGTCTCTGTCTTACTTAAAAAAAACCCCAAACAAACAATAAACAAACCACAGAAGAGGAAAACACAGCAGTTTGGACGCAAGCACCCCAGCTCGTGTTTTCCCGGTGGTTTTGCCACAGGAGGCTGTCCCTGTGCCAGCAGCCGCTCCAGCCCAGCCCTCAGCCCCGGCACATCACTCCAGGTGCTGCACCAAACCCAAATCCGAGCAATTCCCGGAGCCAAAGGAGGTTCTCCCCAGCTCTGCCCCTCACTAGGGTCCCCCCCAGCCACAGCCTCCCGCCCGCCGAGCGGAGAATCCCCCAGGCCACATCCAGGGCCCGAGTGAATGTTGCCTCTTCCCAAAACAGCTGTCAGGATGGACAGAGACTTTATTTGCTTCCCATTAGGCTGATTAACATTTCCTAATGAAAACACATCTATAAAAGCTGACTTGATGATGCTGATGGCAAGTGACAGCCCTTCCCTGCGCTCCGGCTGTACCAGGATCCGTTTGTCAGCTCCCATCCCCTAATGGAGAGTCGGTACCTCAAGGTTCCCCTTTCAGACACCTTTGCTCACCGCCACATTAGAAATGTTATTTGCACTTGGAAATAGAATATTGCTGGTAAATTTTTACACAGAGCAGAACATTCCTTAAAAAACTTAGTTAATTTGCAAGTAAAGCATCCAAAAATGATGAGAGTAGCACAGCACCAGAGCTAACGGCACTGTGAGGCAGCTGCCGTCACACACCTGCAACTCCTGCCTCAATATTCACTATTTTATTGCTATTTGGGGCAGTTTTATTTCAAAATCTGTGTGTTACAACCAGCCATACAAAGTAAAACTTCCTTGGCTGGACTCAACTCCGAATCAAAGTTAGACCCAAACCCTTTTGTTTCACACCCCCCAATGCCAAGCCATGCCGATGGTAAAATTTTATCCTCTAAATGTTTGAAGGTCTGCTTCTCTGTGAAGTCAGAGAATCACAGAGCACACAGTTAAATGGGTCAGAGAAAATCTGAACGTGAAGCAGGGAGGGATGAGTAATTATGGATACATGATGAACAGAAATAAAAGCAATTCTCATGCATTAATGGTACATCAAGCTAATTCAAGAAGGCTAAAATCATTAAAAAGGCATCCTGGGGCAGTACACAGTCATTACAATACTGTGCTGACAAGAAATATTAAAATAATCATTTCCAATGGCATTGATAAAATCCGTTCTGATAAGCAGGGGGAAAAAAATCCACTAATTCTTAATTGGGAAATCTGAAGAAAAACGGATCTTATTGGCATTTATCTTCTTTTTTTAAACACATTTTCCCCGTTCAACAACTCCAAACACCCCAAACTAAATAAGAATTTATTCTCTTCCGTGCCTGGGCATGTTACCACACTAATCCCCTGGAACCTGGAATTTTTCTTTTTCATTTCAGCCTGAAATTCAGGACCTGCTCATGCAGCTGCAAATTCCAACAGTATCTGATATTAGACCCAAGTGGGACAAGGCTGAAACACCCTCTAAAATGGTCAAAACCCTGTTTCACTTCAGCAGCATTCACTGGACTCTACAATCTTGGAGGTCTTTTCCAATCCAAGTGATTCTATGATTCTGTCTCTGCTACAATCAATACTGAGCTTATCAGCTGTAATGGAGCGTTGGGAACGATTTATTTGGATTTAACTCAAGAATAAAGTAGCGTTTTCATGCTAACAATAATCATTCAAGTTAAATTATTTTACCACTCAGCTGTGGGGAAAACAGGAAGTTGAGTTATAAAGACAAGAATCATAACAGATGACCATGAACAGTTCAGTGGCTGCTTGCAGGGGAAAAAATTAGTGGTTTAATTTCTAACACGTGTGCAATGAAGGAGTAAAAGGCCCTTCAATGCCATTTCCAATTCCATCCTCCGAAAGGTAGGTCTGCATCACAGCAAGGAACAGCACAAACGGGAAAAGAACCTACATTTTAGAAAGAGCTTGTAAAACAGCCTAAACTAGGAACTGGTGTCACAGTCCACTAACTGTGTGCTAAAGAAAAGCCTCTGGGTTGGTAACAGGGTTTGGACAATGGCAGTGCACAGCCAGTTTCAGATTTACCAACTCAGGGCTCCTGAAAAACAGAATGGGGAGGAAGAACAGTGTGCACTCAGAACATAAATTCTGTCGTAAATCAGAGGTGATGGAAAACACTGCACAGAGTTCAACTTGATTTAAAAACATCAAATGGGAGTCACTGAGTGCAAAATAAGAGCACTAAAGGTAATGTGACTAAACCAAACCCAACCTGCCTATTGCATCCTTATTCTAAACACTCAAAGGAACTGAAGTGTTCCACAAAGTTACAAGCCACCAAAAGCTGAGGGACCTTGGGCAACATACTGAAATACCCTCACAGACCTCCCAAAGAAACACCTGGAGGATATAATCACCAAGCATCACCTACCGTGGAGTACAATAAACACTGATTAAATCCTACACCTAAATCCTATCCAGCTGGGAGAAAAGTCTAAACATAATTTCAATACACAGAAGACATCTTAATAGGTGTAGTAGCTCCATGTCTTGCAAACAGCTACTAAGTTGTCAACATCTCTTTTTCCTGAGTTACACAGTAAAATACCCCCAACTGTCTTATCCATTCAGCTATTAATGAAATGCAATAATTGCCTGTACCCCTCCCAAGCTTGCTGAAAACCTCAGATAATTCAGGAAGGCTCTGGCCCTGACTTAGAGTTTCCTCAAAATAACAGGAATTGCTTAAGAACACACTATGTGAAGACCCCTACTTGGCCTACCCCTCCTCCCATTGTCCCTTCTTTTCCTAGTTCATTGACAATATTTACATCAGGAAGGGTTTTTTTCAGGTCACATCACAGAACCACAGAGTGGTTTGGAAGGACCTCAAAGCTCATCCCATTCCACCCCCTGCCACGGCCAGGGACACCTTCCACTAGACCAGGCTGCTCAACTCTGAAGTTCCACAAACCAAGTGTCATTTAATCAAGTGCTCCCTATTAGCAGCTTGCACTGCTCATTCACACCCCCTCATTTAATGGGGTCAAGAAGTTGCTTTGTTTGCTGCTGAAATAACCAGCAAAAATTCTCAGGAATTGGATCCGGTCCCAGACGTGTCTGGCAAGTGTAACCCATTTATACAGAAGCATTTCTAATCCTATTAGTTGGCCAATATTAAAGAGTTGGTTGCCTGCCATGGAGGTAAAACAAAACCTTGATATTTCTTAAACACATGAGCTCTGTCAGTTCTTTCTACTTACTACTAAATTTAGCAGAGAGACAAATAAGCCCCCTGGAAGCTTACAAGTTTATCCCACTAGCTTTGTGCCAAGAGACTTCTCTCAAAAGGTCCCTGAGAAAGAAAAAAAAGAAAAAAAAAAAAGAGGAGCAGACAGCAGAAAGAGCCACAAACACCACAACTTGGAATATGTAATTAAAAATCTAACTATAGCTAGCGCTCCAAAATAAATGTGCTAACAACAAAAACCCCTAATGGCTGTTGGAAACTCCTAATCAATACAGAAAATCTAGGCAGTGAAAACAGTAATTTTTGCAACTAGTTCAAGAGAAAACAGGGAGCAAAGCACAAAGATGCAGCTTGAAATCTGATCAAAAGGACAAGTAAAAACATCTTATTTGGAATTAAACTACTGCAGTGCACATCAGAATTTTCCACATAAAATCAGGATGGTTTGCCTTTTTTTTTTTCCCATGCAAAAATGACAATGATTTGCTATTTCCCCCCACGCAGACAGTAGGATGTTTTGCCTTTTTATTCCAGGTAACAATATGAAACTTTTGCCTTTCTATTTGAGAGGCCTTTGTACACATCTCTGCTGGGTGCTGAGGGGAAAGTGCCTCACACAACCCCAGACAGCGCAGGAATCTGCAACGAACAGCTGACACCAAACCAACCCACAGAACTAAGGGGCTCTGAGAAACATTTACACTTAATTAAGAAGGTTTTCAGGCACAGCCAAACTGCCGTGATGAGGGGCTGACACGTTCAGCCAGCAGACGAGCACAGTGAGAAGGAAAGCCGGCAAAGCCTCCTGGTGGAAATTCCACTAGAGGGGGCACAGAGCCCATCTCATGCAGCCACGCTCCGACCCGAGGATCAGGGAATCACACAACACCCCGAGTTGGGAGGGGCCCACAAGGATCATCAAAGCCCCCGCACAAGGCTCTCATGGAATCACATGATAAATAAAGCATAGTTTGGGTTGGAAGGGACCTTAAAGCTCATCTCATACCACCACCTTCCACCAGCCCAGGTTGCTCCAAGCCCCGTCCCACCTGCCCTTGGACACTTCCAGGGATCCAGGGGCAGCCCCAGCTTCTCTGGGCAACCTGTGCCAGGGCCTCCCCACCCTGCCAGGGAAGGATTTCTTCCCAATTTCCAATCTACCTTCTCGTCAGTTCAAAGCCAACTATCCACCTCTCAACTTCTAACACTCCATGAATACCGTGGTATTCAAACATACAATTTAGTTATCAACTACTCTGCACAAAGAGCTTCTCCACAAGCACTAAATCAAATCAAAGAAAACTTTGCTAAAATAAAGCAAGTGCCGAAGAAAACTGAAAATTAAATAAAAGTTAAAAATAGATGCTTAAGACTAAAGGTGCTGGTAGGGAAAACATCAGCGTCAGTGTGCTGTGCTCAGCACGAGGAGCCTTCCCCTCCTGATAATGTAACAAAGTCCCTAAAAATAAGCATTTAAACATTACTGAACGCTTGGCAAACAGGGCAGTGCCTGAGCTACCAGACACAGGTGGTTATTTAAAGACTGAGTGATATACTGGGTGAGAAAGGTCTCGTGTACCGTCATGGAAGACTCTCTCCACGTTGAGCCCGTACGTGGCACAGGTCTCGTAGTAGGTGCATCTCTTGAGGTCATTTGACAACTTCCTGGCTCTGGCATCGTCGATGACCCGGGGGTTAGTGGAGCTTATGGCATCTGCAGCAACAGCAGGGAAAAACAGGGGTTAAATATCATCTGAAAACATCACCTTGTCAGTCGGAGTCACAGAATCGTTAAGGTTGGAAAAGACCTTTAAGTTCATCAAGTCCAACCATCAGCCCAGCACCACCACCATGTTCACCACTAAACCATGTCCCCCAAGTGCCACACTCACACGCTTTTGGAACACTTCCAGGGACAGTGACTCCACTACTGCTCTGGGCAGCCCCTTCCAACGCTTTACAACCCCTTCCATGAAGAAATTTCCCCTAATGTCCAATCTAAACCTCCCCTGGCACAGCATGAGGCTGTTTCCTCTTATAATGACCAGCACCCCAAACAACCAATTTAAGTACAAACCACGAGAATTTCAGAATTTTTAGAGATGCCAGGGGTTCACATCACTAATGTTACATCTCCTTACTGAAATCACCAGCACGCCGATTCCAAAAACCAGGGGAGAAACCTCCAATGCTTTTTGTTTACCTTAAATACATATATTTAGGTCAGCAGGTGCAAAAAATACACAGTCACAGGAAATAACATGAGATCTGATGTAAAATGTACCTAGCAAAACAAGTGGGTGATTACTACAAACATGTCAAATGATTTTCAGGCCTCCTGTAAGTACCAGTTCCTAACAAGTAACTAGTGTGTGAAGCACAAAACATGATGTGCTTTCAAGAAACAGAACATTTTCAGGAGAGGCAATTAAAAATGTGCTGATGTATTACAATTAAAATAAAAATAGATACAGCTATTGAAGTTGCCCCATCCCTGGAAGTGTCCAAGGCCAGGATGGACAGGGCTTGGAGCAGCCTGGGCTAGTGGAAGGTGTCCCTGCCCATGGCAGGGAGTGGAATAAGATGGGCTTTAAGGTCTTGCCAACCCAAACTATTCTGGGATTCTATGACAGGCACCAATTTCAGCATTTACAGCTGCCCAAAAAGCTGTCCTAAAACTCTGCTCCTAAGCATGAAGTCAGTGCCTATTGCAAGGCTGGATTTGCAGCTCGGCCCTGGGCATGACAGGACCCTCCCTCAGTTGATGTTATCATTACCTTCTCATCAGATCCACTGAACACAAATAAAGCAGTTATTTGGAAAAGTAACAGACACTTTTTTTTTCAGCAGAGGGCGCTGAAACCATTTAACCAGAAAGGAATTGATAAGGAACACCAGGGCTTGGAAAAGTTTGCCTTATTGTTCTGGTCAGGCTGTGGCACTGAGCTGGCTTCAGAAGTCAGGGGAGAACATCTGAAAGCATCAGGCAAGTGCCAGCATTTGGAAGAGATTTCATCTCATGTCTCATTTCAAAAATACCAGTCAAAACCAAGGAGTCCAGGCTGGAGGGGGCTTGGAGCAATCTGGGATAGTGGAAGGTGTCCCTGCCCATGGCAGGGGGTTGGGATGAGATTATCTTTAAGATCCCCTCCAACCCAACCCATTCTGTAACTCTGTGATATCAAATAAGTATATTTCAAATGTATTTTAACAGGTGTATTTATGTATTTCATATGTTGCATTGCGCTGCACTGTTTGACTGTCAAGTACAGCCAAAAAGCTGTATTTTTGTCCTGATGCTTGCTCTCAGAATTAGCAGTATTTCCATCTTTAGCCACATTTTTAAAAATCCCCTTTGCATCAGTGCTGCAACAGAAAGTGAACTTTGAAAAAACCCGAATTCCTTCCTGGTAATAACGGGAAGGAGATGGGAAACCATACCCCCAAGAGTCAGCAGGGCACAAAGGAAAACAGCTCAGAGAAACGTTTCCCCTTCGCCTCTCCAGCTCCAGCTCCACGCCCACAGCGCGGCCCTTCCAAGCAGCTCCTTTCTGCTTTTTGGTGTGGGTTCTGCTGCCCTAAGGGTTTTTGTGTCCCTACTTCCCCTTTCACTTCTCATCATCTGTTTCCACCCTGCAGCTGGGTTGTGATTGCTCCTTCCAGGCTGTCACCGCTCCGCGGGAGGCAGAGCGAGGCAAACTGCTCCCTGACCACAGGGCTGACAAAAAACAGGCTGAGAAAGCAGCAAAAAGCTTCCACACAACCAAACCAACTGGCACAGACCAAAGAGGAAGATGGCCAAAACTGAACCTACCAGAACAACTCCTGACACTTGTGTTCTCCCTCTAACACAGCACAGTAACCTAGCGATAGACTTGGAAAGAGATCCAGAGGGAAGGAACTCAAAAGGAGTGAGGAGTGACTGAGGGAGCTGGGTGGAGCCAGGTGGGGCTCTGCTCCCAACCAACAGGATCAGAGGAAACTGCCTCAAGCTGTGCCAGGGAAGGTTCAGGTGGGATATTAGGAAAAATCTCTTCACCAAAAGGGTTGTCAATCCCTGGCACAGGCTGCCCAGCGAGGTGGTGCAGTCACCGTCCCTGGAGGTGTTCAGAAAACATGTGGATGTGGCACTTGGGGACACAGGTTAGTGGTGGCCTTGGCAGTGCTGGGTTAATGGCTGGACTCAATGATCTTAGTGGGCTTTTCCAACCCCAATGATTCCACGGTTCTGTGATCTACATGGCCAGGAGCAGAGCAGCCTCAACTCTCGTGTGTCTACTCCACCCAGCAAACCAACCATGGCACGGGAAAGTGGTGAAATCGTAAGGGATGCACTGGCAAAGCAAGGCAGGGAATATCCAAAAGACAACTCAAATGCCAAAGACATTGAAAGATTGTAAGTACCATTCCCTTGCCACATTTCCCTGTAGGACAGCTGTGATTAGCTGCTGCTGCTGCTGCTCCAGAAGGAACTTTGGAAAAACTGGGTGGGGGGGGCCTGTCTCAGGTGGCAAAAAACTGCATTTCTGTTTGATACACAGAGGCCTCCTGGAGGCACTGCATGGGGACATGGTTCAGTTCTGCTTCCCAACGTGCTGCTGGAGGTTTTCCCCCCCGATCCGTTTGCCTCTTAGCAATGACAAGGTGTTGAACACCTCTAGACTGCCAAACACTTGGAAACTGGACTTCAGACCTTCGTTACACAACTGATGCACCTGCCCAAATTCAACATCAGCATGTCCCTGCCGAGCAAGAAAACCACCGTGACCAGCAAGCACTGAAAATACTATTTAAAATCTCCTTGTAAGTCATAACATCCTGGAATAGCTTGGGTTGGAAGGGACCTCAAAGCTCATCCGGTTCCACCCCCTGCCATGGGCAGGGACACCTTCCACCAGCCCAGGTTGCTCCAAGCCCCTCCAACCTGCCCTTGGACACTTCCAGGGGCAGCCACAGCTTCTCTGGGCAACCTGTGCCAGGGCCTCCCCAGTCTCCTAGGGAAGAATTCCTTCCAGTATCTGACCTAAATCCCCCCTCTTTCATCCCTGCTGGAGCCCCACACCCCCTCTCCCAGAGTGCAGCCAGGACTTTTGTCTCCCACCTCAAACCAGTCCTCACAACACCCCGGCCCTGCTGCAAAGGGGAAAGGACAGGACGTGGCTTTGCCAGCCTGGAACAGTCCCTGTGGTCAGAAGACCAGCCCTGGGAATGAAGCCTGCCCTTACCCTGTGTTCCCACCAGGACCATGGGGATCTCACTAGTGTTGCGATAGTTGGCCATCCGGCTGTAGTAGTGGTACACGGTCTGGAAGCTGACTTCATCCTCCAGGCTGAAGACAAAGATAACAGCATCCACCCACATGGCAAACTGCAGGAGGAAACCAGAGAGGGCAGACTGTGAGAACAGCAGCACAGAGGGGAAAAGAGAAAAAAAGAAAAGGAGAAACATTCTTACCTTCCTTGGTGGGAAATACACAGCAGAGAAACTTAGGGACAATAACCAAAGCCTTAAAAGTGGCATCAGCTTCTAAAATGATGAATGTCCTCACTTTCCAGGGAATGGGGGTCTGGGAGGCACCAAATTTTTCCCCACACTCACAACAGCATCCCTTCCTCACTGGGGTCTGATACTACAAGCTCGACTACTATCAGTGCACGTTGGGTCTGATCCCCAGAAAACATGGCAGGCCCAGATTTCCCAACCTGTGCATTTTACACGTGTAACACTTATGTCCAGGCACGTGACTCAGTGTGGTATTCCCCCCCTGGGATTTCCATGCATGCATGCTCATGTTGCCAGGACGAGCCTTGCTAGCAATTCTCACATCTTGACCAGTACCCAAACCCAGTAACTTGAGATTTGCAGTCCTTCACTCTACACTCTCCATTGAGCCAACAGCACCGAATGCCTCGTTCTGCTTTCAGAGGAAGAGCAGCAGCAGCCTGCTAAGAGACATGCAGGTGCACAGGCCAAGGCAAGGTGCCCTCAGGTGACCATGCAAGTGGGAAGGTTTCAGCTCACAAGTGAAATAAGACTGTTTAAAGACATTTAACTTAACAGTGAACACACACAGGACATCAAGAGAAGACTGAAGTTAAGCTTACCTCACTGCCTTTATTTTTGCCTAAGTGACTCCATTCCTACCCAGATTTAGAGCAATGGAAAAAAGCTTCAGCCATGGGCATTTTCATGCTCTTTGTGTCATTACTATGTGTCAGGGACACTGGGGGGATGCTGAACAGAAAGGGCTGCAAGGAGGTTCACTGGGGAAAGGTTCTGCATATTCAGGACTGTCTTGTATGGACACCAAACACCACCTTGTCTGTTATGGTGTAAAAACAGCCAGAAATGGTTTGAGGTTTTCAAGACAGTCAGGAAGCCAATGTTCCGGAGGGTAAGGACAGGACTGGTGACACACAGCACAGTTACTGCCAGGATAAGGTCAGCCACCACACTGGGAAATCTGAACTGTTCAACCCAGAAGATGTAACCAGAGGAACTGGAGACAGCAGCGTTACTGTGGGTTTGGGTCTCACTATAAATAGTTTTCTCTGATTGGACTCAGAACTATCATGCCAAGAACTCCTCCCTACAACTACAATATCCTTAAAGTCTCCCTAATCCTTCTGAGTATTTGCTCAGTGTGCAGAAGCAGCTTTCTAATGAAGATAATTTTAAAACATCCACAGATTTATACAATGCAGTTCCTCCAGACACAGAATATTTCCAGTAATTCCTTATTTCTCTTTTCATGTTGAAATAAAGCTTCATCTTGGTCGATATCAGACCTGTAGTACTAAAAACCCAAGGAATTTTGGGAAACACACGAGGTCTGGAAATGCTGGATGTCTTATCCACAGCACTGTGCAGGGAATGGCTTGAAATAAGGGTAGGTCAGCTGCTGTAACACAAATCCATCCTCAGAGTTAAGACTGTGTGTGAGCAGAGCTGGTAGCTCAAGGAAAGCTCAAAACCAAATTATATTAAAAAAAAAAAGCTTTACATTTCAAGAAAATAGCATGCAACAGCCTGTTATAGGTCGGTTACTATGTTAACTGGGTTTTACAACAGGAAATGGAATTATTTTCATCTTTGAGCAATTTTATCTTAGACAAGAAAAGAGAGATCATAGACCCACAAAGTGAGTCTTCAGGGGAGTTTGTTTTCTGTCCCTTCCTGGCAAAAAGAAGGGGGAGGCAACCTGGGGAAATCTCCCTGGCCCAGTGCCAGGAACAGCACAGTTCAGTTCCTTATTACATACTTACCTACTTACATTTTTATTATAATATAAACTTATCCTCCTTAGGAAGTCGTAACTCTATCCCAATTATTCATGAACCCAGAAATGAACTTTTCATTCCAGGAATTAATAAAACGATTGAAGACTTTCAATACACCTGAGACCTGAGATTATACCCAAAAACTCCAAAGGGGATTTAGCTGTGAAACCCATGTGTTGAAAGGTGAAAGAGCACTTAAGGTGACACCTTAAACCTCTCCATCCTTATGACTTGCTGAAGAACAAATCTGAGCCACAGAAGAACCACAGAATGGTTTGGGTTGGAAGGGACTTTAAAGCTCATCCTGTTCCACCCCCTGCCATGGGCAGGGACACCTTCCATCAGACAATAGTAATTAAACCCCCAAGTTTACCTCACACAGACCAAAAGCACACCCTGTGCCTGTTCATTAGTCTGCACTTAGCCCAGACAAACTCTGAAAACCCAGCTCTCTGGGCAGAAAAACATTTCCCATTGCTGTGTGTACCTTAACACCTCCAGTATTCATGTTTTCAGATGAGTGAATGTTCTCTAAGCACCAGGGCCTGGAAGCTGTGGGGAGCTTCAGCCAAATCCCTCCCAGCCCCAAACAGAGCACTCCTTGTAGGCTCCTGCTGACAGGGCTGCAGATGTGCCAGCAACACTCATTTTTTTGTCTTTTAACTTCCTTCCAGGATGTCTCTCTCGGTCTCCATTTCCTCCACCTCCTTTCTCTTCCCCTTTGTCCGGGCACCTTCCCCTCCTGCAGCTAAAGTGGTGCAGTGAAACCCGAGCTGCTGCTGCTGGCACTGCTCCCCTTCAGCTGCTCCTGATGCTCAATTATTGCTTGTTTGGAAGCTGATCCATCCCTGAACAGCCCAGCAAAGCAAGGACAGCAGCAGCCAACACACTTGGGAAACTCTGTGGGTGCCCAGGTAAGGAGAGGAGGAGGAAGATGTCCAGGACAAGGACGGTGCCTGCAGACATGCTGGGTCTGTGCTGATTTAAGCAATGGCTGATTTAAGATGGGATAGTGGGAAGAAATCCTTCCCTGGGAGGGTGGGGAGGCCCTGGCACAGGTTGCCCAGAGAAGCTGTGGCTGCCCCATCCCTGGAAGTGTCCAAGGCCAGGCTGGACGGGGCTCGGAGCAACCTGGGCTGGTGGAAGGTGTCCCTGCCCATGGCAGGGGGTGGGATGAGATGAGCTTTAATGACCCTTCCAACCCAAACCCTTCTGTAATTCTATTAACTCCTGAGGTGTCACCTGCTGTGAGAGAAGGAGGTAACACAGCACACACAGAATTCCCAGTCAGAAATCCAGGAACTCAGCGGTGCTGAACTGGAACTTGCCAAGTTGAGTCTTAAACAGCAAAATACGGAAGCAGCAGGGAATGCAAAGATTTGGACACAAGTATGTGTGTCACTGTGTGCATGTCTACTTCATATTTTAACAATTTAGAGCTTTAAGATCGGAAGAGAACTTGACTGTAACACGCAATTTTGTCACCAGGGAAACACACGGATTGGGCTTTCAAGAGACATTAACTGTATATCCTCATTTACACAGTTTTACTCGTAATACCAAATATTTTCTACCCAGACTCTTTAATGCACTGTAATTGAAATCCCAAACATTTTCTGAATAAAATCTTTTTCACCTGAGGGCGATGTAGGAATTTTCCCAGCAGAAGGATGAGAGGGACCCAGGGCAGAACAAAGCAAAGCCAGTTCTTTTGAAGGAAGGTTTTTAAAAGCAGGGAAAGCGAGGCTTCAGGCTGCCAAGGCTCTCAGAGATGCTCACCTGAGCCTCCGGAGGGCCTCCTTCATCTCTAATCAGCAGCAGGTAGCTTTGTCCATCAACTACTATCTCCTTCTTGAATCTCCCACCTGTCACACAAAGCAGCTCGTTAGAGACAGCAAAGGCACAACACACACCACAGAAAAAGGCTTCACTTGTGGAAAAATGGGGTCCTCAAGGTCTTTTGCAATTAACCAAGTACTGTAATGTAAGCTGAGTTTATATGCACACACATAGGAATTACTTAAGAAAGGTAAGGCATGTACTTGCCTTTTTTATATATACATACAGATATATTTTATATATATATATGTAAGTAATAAGGATAATGTGGAGAAAAGCCAACGACTGCATTACAAACAATAACTCCCACGTCAGGTGTCCCTGGTTTTCATACATACGGTTGGAACACCTTATGTATCACCTTTGTTTTATATAATAGTGAGAAAAGTATCTCTAGGAAAGGTAAACATGGGACAGTTGTATACAAACAGTGTTGCCTATTATAACCAAAATCGGTTTCCTGTGGGGATCAGCATTTCCTCAAGGGAAGCCCAGTTCTTAGAGCACACATGGGATGTTATGGAAATGAGAGTTCTATATTCAAACACCACAGTTAGGGGAAAATACCAGACACGTGTTAGACAAAGAAGCTACAATGGTGGTACCTCTGCAGAGATGTGCTAAACTAACGGAGAATGTCGTGCTGCTGACTCAGGATGGACCCCAGACCTGCTCTGCACAGCCAGATAAAGAGTGGAGCTGGAGCCTTCAAGCACATCCCAGCCCTGCCCCTGCTGTTCAGGGAGATGCAGAGCACTGGGTGCTTTGAACACCAAAGAGGCACCGACCCCAAAGCCGAGGCACCTGCTCCTGCTCCCTCCCCTGGCTCGGGGGACTCCAGGCCTGACCCCAGGGCAGGCTTGGAATTGCCTCCCTGGGGGCTAAAAGCCTATTTTGGGCACTCTGCTGTGTCCCTTCAAAATGACAAATCCCGTTGAGGGCTGCTGGTGTGACTGAGCCTAAGCCAGGATTAGCAACCGTGGCCTAAGTACTTGGGAGGCATTTAGGCTCCTCTCCTGGAAGCAAACCCACTCTTAAGTCCCCACCTAAGACCCAAAGTCCCCAAGGGCCTCCTGCTTAGCGAGACCCAAGCTCACAGCTGAGCTGTTCACGTTGAGATAAAACACTTCTATCAACACACCCTAAACCTCTTCCTTCATCCCTCTTTTTTTAAACTGGAATTGTTTCTAATTTGAACCCCAATTCCCAACCACACACTTTAAAACTTGTCACACTACCAAAACACCACCTTGAAACATGTGGTAGGCAAGTAAGTCAGCAAATACAGGGTAATGCTGAGCCTCAAAACACAACAATTTGCACAAAAATTGCTGCCTTAGGGGAACACCACACTGCCTTAAACCCACCATTCCCCAGCCCAACCACAACAGCAGCTCTCAAACCAAGATCAATTCACAGTTCAGCTCTGTGCAATATTTAAGCATCTTTAAACACACTTTGTGTTTAATAAAAGATGTAGGAATGGGGCTGGTGGTTGTGGTTTTCTGCTGGGGTTTTTTTGTTGTTGCTGTTTGTGGGTTTGGGGTTTTTTAAAAACCTTTTCTTTATAAAGCTACCCTATCATTATTACTCTATTAGCTGTACTAAACATGCAACAATTAGGACTATCACATTTCTGGTTGTTTAATGGCACAGGAGCAGGAGAGCTACATATAGATTTTCATTTCACTCACAAACTGGATTTCAATTTTGCCTTCGCAGATCCAGTGGCAGATAAATATATATCATTAGTGAACTTGAAAAGAACAATCAACCGTAAAGCTTGTAAAGGAAAACCAGTCTCGGCTCTCAGGAACTGGATTTCTGTTAATCAGACCATTATTTCTATATGTTGTCAATTAATTGCACGTGCTTCACACTGAAGTGTTAAACAAGATGAATTACTTAATATAGAGCCCTCCAGGGAGGCTCTTGAAAGCTGTAAGTAACAATGGCAAGGCAGTATAGACGTGATTGGAGAGTGAAAGTTCTGCCTAATTGCCATTTCCTATTTCCTTTTTTTGAGCACTGAAAGTTCACCCAGATAATTATGAAATACCACGAACTGCATGTGGTTCAGGGCCAACTTATAACTCCCCTGGTCAACAGGACGCCTTGCAAGTCTCACTGTATCTTCAGAGAAGGCACAGACAAGGGGAAATAAAACACTTAGGCAGAGAATTGAAAAATATTCAAGTGTATATGCCCTGATCAAATGTGAGCACTAAGATTTATTCTTCTTGGTCACTACTGATTTGGGTGGTGAGAGCAACTTGGAGAAGGGTACTATGTCTAAAAAATACAGTCTAAAGTTATCCAACAGCTCTTTTCCTGCAGGAATCCACACTAAATGACCAGGCTTGTGGACCTGCTCCGTGCCTTCCCCCAAAGCACTGTGTGTGGAGCTCGGCACAACCCCAACATATTGTTATTTCCAGTATTAAATTCAGATCTTGACATGCTGCCCCACTTCACCAGGACTGTCACACAGTCAGTTCAAATCTACTCAAGTGGCTCCTTCATCCTTAAAAGCTGGATATGCTCATTAGCTGGAACAGTCACATCCTCACACATCCTCCATTTCTGTTTGGGTTTAGGTATTTCATGATAAATAGTTTAAATTTAATACCCCCCAACCAAACTCTTTAAAGAATGACCTGCATTTCCATTCTGTACTCAATATTTCAAATCAAATCTGAAGATCCAGAAATGTAACAGCAAACTCACGCTCATCCCTCAAGTAAGAAGCATTTTATGCAAATCTCAGCTCACAGCAGGATGCATCCCTAACAACCTCTGTGTCTACAGCATTATGGAGCCCTTTTCATGAGCACACCACAAAATTAGGAGCTGCACAGGACAGAGATTGAGAGAACCTCTCTCAGTATCAAGAATTTACACAAACAAAGGCATAAACAGTGAAGAATATACAGAGCAAGGCTGTACCCTGCAGATATCTGTGACTGCAGGATTAAGGCAAACAATAAACTGACTCTGCCTCTGACTCGAGCCTTGATGAGACCCATCACTGGTTTGGGGAAACCAAAGCAGGGCCAGGGCAGTGATTCTGGGATGGTTCAGTTTGGACAGCACCACGGTCATTGTTTTTAAAAACTTACATTTCTGGAGTTTGTAAAGCACCAGAGGGAAAGAGGAATCAGAGAGATCAGCCAGTTCAAATATTGAATTACAGCAGCCTGTAAATACGTCAGGATGTCTCCCACGGCTACAAGACAGGCCTGTGCTCTCCTCAACATCCCTGTGCGTGATGGAGCCACGAATTACTGCCTGAACCAGCGACACCCAGAACAAAGAAATGACCTTCTCAGCTTAAAGGAGGAGCTCCAAACCCACAGCACTGTTCCCACGGGAGGCACTCGCTCTGCTCTAGTCCCATCAGTGTTGTTCCACACGCAGCTTTTTAATGAGGGGATCTCCCAGCTGGCAGATGTACCTGGGAGGTCACAGGGACACAGGCAGCCTGCAGCACGGCTCCAGGGACCTGCACCGCTCCTGCCAGGGCACCACAGGCACAGGAAAGCATGTTATTCCCAATTTTCCAGGGCTAGAACATCATCTGTTCACACAAACGTGTACTGAATCTTGCAGCAGGTGGCAAACATCACTGCTGTGCCCAAAGCCACCAGCACAGGGAGTGGGACATCTGAGAACACCATCAACCTCCCGCTCTCCCAGGTGCATCTGCCCAGATTCCTGCTATAAAACACCCCACAGAAATATACAGCTTTGATCAATACAAAGCTGAATAAATTCTGTGCATCAGCAATTTACAGCCTGGCCTGAAGCCCCAGCACAAATCAGAGCACAGGGCTGGGGGGATCAACAAAAGCCTCCTAATCTCATTTTCATGCACGACGCTCTCTAGGTTAGTGCTCAGAACCAGCACTAGGGCAAAAATTATCCAGGAAGAACTGATATTAACTGTAAACACAGCACACATCTGTAATCAAAGGTGCTGTATATTACAAAAGCTGGCTGTTACATGGGGAATTCCAGGGCTGAAGGCTTTAATCCAGCTCTGACAGCCTGGCTGGGAGCTGGTCCACTGAGGAATTGCTCAGCGGAGCAGCCGCTGATTTTCATCCCGTATCCCCAGGCCCCACTGCACTCACCAGGCTCTCCACTCAAGCACATTGCCACGGGGATGAAGATATTTGGCCATATGAGGAAGATAAATTCGGGGGGCTGGCCGCAAACAAACCCAGGTGGCAGCTGAACGTCTGCTCTGGCAGGGCGAGGCAGGGGGTGGGACTGCAGCAGCTCTGAAGCCTGGATTTCATATTCCCAATGACACGTGCATTCTGACAGCAGCAGCCAGTTGTCTTACACATGCACACTCTCTCCCTTTTTGTTCCTCAGAAGATGGGAAAGAGTGCCAAGAATCAGGTTCCTCTTCAGGGAACCACGTTAAGAAAACCTCCATTCAAACCTAGTGGCCTTCTTGTTTGCTAGTCCAAGATTTTTATTCAAACAAACTACTTTAAAAATGTTTCCCCCCAAAAGCATATTACTACAAGGATGCAAACCCCACAAGAAGGATTAAAACTAAATTTACACGTGGTTGAGCTGGGTCGAGTGTTTAACCACAGAAGTGCAAAGACTGGGGAACCACCACTCTCACATGAGACTAAATCTGCAAGCAGATCCCTGCAGCGGGTTCCCAGGAGAGCACCTGGGTAAAAAAAACCCAAAAAACCAACAAAAGCAACCTAGATTGAGCCCTTCAAACCCCACCATCTGCTCCTCCCAGCGGGTCTAGGACACAGTTTAGGAGATACATGGATAGGTCTCCTGAAGTATGGAGCCATACCCCGTTACAGCAAGGTACCCCACAGGCACCATGTGTGATGCAGTATCACAGCACACAGACAACCTTTTCTTTACATAAAAACTGGCATGGAAGCACTGATACACGACCTTGCAATTCCGTGGCAAGAGGGCTTACTGCTGGAATTTCAGAAGCAGGTGCAATGACATTTACCAACTTAATTTTGAGATATAATCA